AAAAAAAAACACACACACACTGTGCTTTGTATTGGTGATTTATGTGTTTGTATTCCTTCCTAAACTTCAGGGAAAGGACTTCCTTATGCCTTTTTCTACCCTCTCTTCCATTTAGCACAATGCTTTTCACACAGAAGGTGCACAGAAAATGTTTGTGGAAAGCAGACCAACCAGAATTGAATCTCTCCCACTCATTATTTGCAACATTAACTCAGGCAAGTTACTCTCTCAGGTCACAGTTTTCACATCTGTAAAATGGAGATAATAATTGAACCCACTTCTTTATAGGGTTGTTGTAAGGATAAAATAATGCATATAAGGCACTTAGCACAGGACATGGTACAGAGCTAAACATTTCAAAATGGTAGCTGTAATAATAATCTATTATTATTATAGAGCAAAGCCCTATAGAATGGCTTGTGTGCCACTGGCCTAGTTGGGAGGAATAGGTATGTGTGTGTTTTGGGGGTGGGGAAGGCACAGAGAAGTTCTTGAATTGGGCAGGGTGGCAGTAGAGGATAGAGAGTTTATAATTATTTTTGCATATGTCCAAAGGAAGTTTGAGTAGATCAGTGGGGCCATATCAGACAAGGTCATTGTGTGAGGTTGTGCAGGTACTGCTCTGCACAAAGGTACCTGGTCCAGGGCCAGAGTAGGGGCCTAAACCAACCAGTGTTCTCTTTGCAAGGCCTGTGCACTAGTACAGGGATGCAGTATTTGGAGGAAGGAGCAGCAGGAGGGGGTTGCCTTCTTGCCAGTTCATACAAAGCCTATATGTGCTGGCAAGGCCCTGATAGCAGATCCCCTGGGGAATTGAAGAAGAAGGCAGGTCACATTTTTCACTGGGAGCTTTAATTGCCCTTTCAAAAGAGAGTTGTTTTCAGTAGACAAAGGACACATCCTGCAATGACCTGGAGGGACCATGTTTCTCTGCCTGAAAAGCTGTGCTCAGATATAGGAGCGCCATCGTTTTGTAGTTTCTACATCCTATACCAGTGGTCCCCAACCTTTTTGGCTCAAGGGACTGGTTTCATGGAAGACAATTTTTCCACGGACTGGGCCAGGGGGTGGGAGGGATGGTTTTGGGATGATTCAAGTGCATTACATTTATTGTGCACTTTATTTCTATTATTATTACATTTCACTTACAAACCCACTGATAAGAGTTTTGATATGAGTCTGCAAGCAGTTGATTTATTATGGTCTCTGTGCAGTCAAACCTCTCTGCTAATGATAATCTGTATTTGCAGCTGCTCCCCAGTGCTAGCGTCACTGCCTCAGCTCCACCTCAGATCATCAGGCATTAGATTCTCATAAGGAGCACACAACCTAGCTCCCTTGCATGCGCAGTTTATAGTAGGGTTAACACTCTTATGGGAATCTCATGCCGCTGCTGATCTGTCAGGAGGCGGAGCTCAGGCAACGACATGAGTGATGGGGAGCAGCTATCAATACAGATGAAGCTTGGCTCACCTCCTGCTGTGCAGCCCAGTTCCTAACAGGCCATGAACTCGTTCCAGTCTGAGGCCTGGGGGTTGGGGACCGCAGTCCTGCACAGATATCTCCTCCCAATCTTTCCTGTGATCTCATCCTTTTCTTTTTTCAACGTCTTGTGATTTCCTCAAATAAAGAGTCTTGTTGAAATGTCTGTCCTTGTTTCCCCTGTGACTGGGCGGTGCCTTTTGGAACCTGACTTATCTTTAATTTCATCATTTTTACTGTGGCTTTATTTAGTTCTCACTACAAAAGCAACTATTAATAATTATTTTCACATGTATAACTTCATGACACGGAATAATGTTTTTGATATATTGTTGAATGGGGAAAAGCAGCAGACGAAATAAGTATTAGAGTAGGATTCCATTTGGGGAATATGTTGTGTGTGTCAGCGTGTATGTATATATCTACCTATCCATATACACATTCATACATACTACTGAAAAAAGGGAGTCCATACACCACGACATCTAATAGTGATGATCTTCACATGGTGGAATTCCAGGTGATTTTTATTTTCTCCTTCTTTGCTTATTTGTATTTTCTGAATTTTATACATTGAACATATGTCACTTGTACAATTAAAAATACAGTTTGTTTTTGTTTTTGAGACAGGGTCTCACTCTGTCACCTAGGCTGGAGTGCAGTGGTGCAATCACAGCTCACTGTAAACTTCAACTCTTGGATTCCAGTGATTCTCCTGCCTCAGCCTCCTGACATATTTTTTTTTTTTTTTTAGGGACAGAGTCTCACTATGTTGTCCAGACTGGTCTCAAACTCCTGTGCTCAAACCAGGCTAGGCAACATAGTGAGACCCTATCTCTACAAAAAAATTTAAAAATTAGCTGGATGTGGTGGTGCATGCCTGTAGTCCCAGCTACTTGGGAAACTAAGCCAGGAGGATTGCTTGAGCCTGGGAGTTGGAGGTTGCAGTGAGCTACGATCACGCCATTGCACTCCAGTATGGGCAACAGAGCAAGACCTTGTCTCACAATACAAAAACAAAACCACACACACCTAAAACAAAACAAAAATAAATAAAAATATATATATATTCATCCATAGTCAGGCATAATGCCTGGTGTCTATAATGGAAGCTACTGGGGAGGCTGAGGCAAGAGGATCATTTGGGCCCAGGAGTTTGAGACCAGCCTGGGGAACATAGCAAGACCCTGTACCTAAAACAGTAAAAAAAAAGTTAGCCAGTCATGGTGGTATGTGCCTGTAGTCCCAGCTACTCAGGAGGTTGAGGCAGGAGGATCACTTGAGCCCAGGAGTTCAAAGCTGCAGTGAGCTATGATTGAGCCACTGCTCTCTAACTTGGGCTACAGAGTGAGAACCTCTCTAAAATATAAAAATAAAAATAATTCACCCACGTGTACAAATATAAACAGAGATGCTTGTTGCTTCTAATTTCAAAACTGGAAATGACTCAAACATCTATTAATAGGGAGTTACTAAAAAGAAGGACAAGGATGGGAGGCTGAGGTGGGAGGATTGCTTGAGGTCAGGAGTATGAAACCAGCCTGAGCAAAAGCAAGACCCCATCTCTATTAAAAATAGAAAAAATTAGCCAGGCATGGTGGCACATGCCTGTAGTCCCAGCTACTCAGGAGGCTAAGGCAGGAGGATCACTTGAGGCCAGGAGTTGGAGGTTGCTGTGAACTGTGATGATTCCACGGCACTCTAGCCTAGGTGACAAAGCGAGACTCTGTCTCAAAAAAAAGTAAAAAAATAAATAAATCGAATCAAATAAAAAATAAAAAGAATGACAAGGAAAGATGTCGAAATGTATTGTAAATTGAAAAATCAAATTGTAGAACAATATATTGTCCCATTTTTTGTTTAAAAATAAAATGCAATCCAGGCCTGGCGGGTGCTGTAATCCTAGCACTCTGGAAGGCCAAGGCAGGAGGATCGCTTGAGTTCAGGAGTTCGAGAGTAGCCTGAGCATATAGCAAGACCCCGTCACTACTAAAAATAGAAAAATTAGCCAGGCATCGTGGCGTACACCTGTAGTCCCAGCTACTTGGAAGGCTGAGGGAGGAGGATCGCTGGAGCCCAGGAGTTTGAGGTTGCAGTGAACTATGAATACACTGTACTCTAGCCCACGCAACAGATCAAGACTCTATCTCAAAAAAACAAAAACCAAAAAACAACAAAAAAAGAATAATCAAGTACAAAAACCAGAAATAAGCCTATTAAATTCATTAGACATCATAATAAAAATTTTCCTATTTTCCTATATCTTCCAAGAGGAAGATATATGTTCACAAAGATAAACTCACTGTTTGTAGTACCACTACAGATTTGTTCCCAATAAACACACAAATTCTGATAAATTATATTTTGCTTGATTCCTTTCAAAAAAAGAAAATGTGGCTGGGCTCAGTGGCTCACGCCTGTAATCCTAGCACTCTGGGAGGCCGAGGTGGGAGGCTTGCTAGAGGTCAGGAGTTCGAGACCAGCCTGAGCAAGAGTAAGACCCCCCGCCGTCTCTACTAAAAATAGAAAAAATTAACCGGGAGCGGTGGCACATTCCTGTAGTCCTATTTACTTGGGAGGCTGAGGCAAGAGGATAGCTTGAGCCCAGGAGTTTGAGGTTACTGTGAGCGAGGCTGATGCCACGGCACTCTAGCCCAGGCAACAGAGTCTCCTGTCCATGAGTGTGATTGTGAGGTCCTCAGAGTGTTGGATGGAGCTGGGAATGGAAAGAGATGGGTGAGCTGAGGGTCAGCTTTCCTGTGCCACCATGTTCTGGTAAGGAACTCCAAAGAACCTGAGAACTCCGAATTCGAACCTGGTCTCCTTGTCAAGGTAGGTGATAAAATGTATTTTAGTGAAAGTTTTGTTAGCTTGATTTGCAACATTTAAATATTTAGACATTATGGTAAATGGGCTTCCATTTGTACTTTTGCCCCAGACTGAGAATTCATTTGAGGGTCAGGAGGATATCCCTCTTATTATTCCATGGAGTTACATATACACCTTGATTGACGTTAGAACTATTTAGACTCCTGGGGTGCTTTTTTGCTTTAACCTGGGTGCAAGCTCAACCCTGGCCATCACTACTTTGGCTTATGGGGTTGAAATAGAGCAGTGGGCTGTTAATTCTGAATGACTCCCTCTCCTCAGCACATCCCAAGAATAAGGGTCTTTACTCACAGCCACAAGAGTGTCCCATAGTTGCTGCTACTTCTGCATAATAATGAAGATATAGAAAACATCGGCTAACCCCAAAAATCACTGATGCCCATTCTTTCTTGGGTGGGCAATTCAGGCCTATTCTCCATATCAGACTAGGGTTGAGGAAGGCAGGTCTTGAACTTATAGGTTCTATTTTCTAATCTAATATAGTAGTTAAGAGAGCTAGTCTGATAAAGCATGATCAAAAAGGCCTTCACTCTGGGTCTGTCTCTCATATGAGACACATGTTTAGCATATACACTTATATTTTAATATTTCTCTGCAGCCTGTGAAGCCCCGCACACCAAATCCCTGGTTACAAAGTCCAGTCCCAGGCCTAACCACACCAAGCAGAGGTCACTCGCCACTTGTCAAAGATCTACGCACCTCCCGGGAAAAAAGAATTGCTATGGGGCCATTTGGATCTGACAACTCAGCTCTCTAGCTGGGTAAATACTCAGAAGATTTTTTCCAGCATCTTCCTCTGGAAGGAAAGGTGCTCATTTCTAGTTGAGCATTTCTTTTGTTCCACGACACAGGCAGCAGAGGACCTGGTCACATTCTGTCTCTTTAACTGATATTGTTCAATCTTGTCACTATGTTCATAAAGAAACATTATTTAACAGTAGACTTGATGTCTTAATGTGCACCATTTACACAATGGGTTAAAAAAAATTGACATCACATTAGGTGATAGAGCATGTTTTTCCATACCCCAGAAAGATCATATGCTAAATATGGGTCAGAGCTCCAAATCTTGCTAGAATTGAAATATCAAAAGACCCAGCATCTTTTGCAAGCTGTACAAATCACCCTCTGAAACCCACACTAGAATCAATCCCATTTGTCTAGGAAAGAAATAGCTCAGGTGATTTTTTTTAGTTCACAAGTCTAGTCTTGTTTTAGAGGAGGTTCTTTAACTACAGCCCAGAGGACAACGTGGAAGCCATGTCACAGAACTGTTAAAAAAAAAACAAGCCAGCACAATCATTTCCCCCTTTGTACTGCTTGGGTGGGGGTGAACACATTCAGCTCCCTGGGAAACAATTCCACAGTTTCACAAGGCCGATTAGCAATTCTCACGAGCCTCGATGTACTTAATACTTAGAAGATTTAGGCATCACGGAACAGCTGCAAACTGAATCTGTACCATAAGATGGGATTCTGTAAGAGCATGTGATACCCCAAAAATTGCCATAGAAAAGGAGATGCCCAGAATTCCGAGCAGTGTGGATCCAGCCTCCTTTCCTAAAAACTGTTTGCTGTTTATAGCCTAAAAAGCTTGGAGACATTCAGTAATGAAAATAATGGCAGTGTGAACCTCTCTCCTTTTTTCTTCCTCTAATCACATCCTCTCTTCCGGTGGCATTGTTATTGTCAGAAATAGAAAAAGCAATATTTTCTACTGTGAAATCCCAGAAGCTATGAAAAATGGGGGCGGGGGAGGAGGAAACTTTGGGGTTATGAGTTAACTGCATTAACAGAAACTCTTCCCTGGCCGGGCGCGGTGGCTCACGCCTGTAATCCTAGCTCTCTGAGAAGCCGAGGCGGG